AGATACGTTAGGAGCTTCTTAGAAAGCCATGCATAGCGTAGTGAGATCTCGAAGGGCAATCTTAACCCCTCCAGGTGATATGCTGAACTTTGCTCTCATAGATCGTGAAAAAACTCGGCTTCCGTAACCTAAGTGGGTGAAGAAGTCTTGTTGGAAGTCAACTCACATGGAAGAAGCATGTTTGCGTCGGAATACTTGGCTCAATATTGATGTTGCACGGCCTCGGTTCTCCGATACAGCATCGCTGAAAGAAAATTCCTTACCCTTGTATTGATAGGGCAAAATTGCGTCAATGCTCTTCGTAAGTTTCGCCAAGATTTTATGACCCATAAAACAACAGCAAAGTGTCGGGGAATGCCAAAGTGTAACCATGCTGACATCTATGAAAATCGGAGATCCGCCTTGCGGTTGAAAGTAAAGGAACAGTTCACACTGGTCACATGGGCGGAGCGAGACCCAATATTGTGCTTTCTTCGTTGGCATGATGCCTCAGCTCTTTGCAGTCTCAGAAGAGGGATGCGCACCAAGGAGAAGGCACAACTGCTGATGTGCTATGGGGAATTTCACCTGCGTTTTGGATTCCTCGCGACGGACACAGTGCTTTGACGTCGACGTCGTGACGGTTTCCGAATATAATGGTCGATCTTCTCATTCTGCGGATGTGGCACCATTGTGATCTCTGTCACGTCGCTGGGAAGCCTGGAATGTACAAAAATTTAGCTCAAAGCTCTAAAGATGAATAGAAATCAAAGGGGGGTTCCGGTAGAAAAGGGGTGGTTTTCTCGCGCGGGTGCTGAACAGTTGCCAATCTAGGTAAAAAAAACTCTCGTTCGCTGCAGAAGGAAGAGGCATACTAAGTGGGTTGGGTTGGTGGCGGAGCTAGACAGTAGTTTCTCAGTTGTTCAAGCGAGGCAGGCGTCAACGAATGGTGAAAACCGGGTGGTTCCGTGATAAATCTGGCCTCCTTGACACGCCCCAGCATTCGCAGCGAACAATACGTACACTCGAAATCCCTGGGATGGTAGGCGTGGCTGCGTACTTCAACTATCCGTGGAGGTGGTCATGCTTTTGGAGAGACATTTCCATTTTGGCACAATCGGGGTTGCGTCCCTGTCCAACACAGAAAAAAATGACAGTTGTTTCAAACTGAAATATCCCACGAGCAACCCATTCTATGCAGTGCTCAAAGGCCACGCCTAGTCCGTGTCAGGGATAAGGAGTGAAAGTGCGCGCATAAGAGGACGCAGGCGGCACAGAAGATGTCACTACATCTCTCACAGTGCTGGACCGTACATGACTTGTACTGAACAACTCACTCAGCTTTGTTTGCACTTCCCACATAGAAATTAACGGCTTTTCCTGCCATTTCTCGTGAATACAGCGGTGAAACGGTGTCTTCCCAGAACATGTCCGGACGGACTTCTGGGATGTCATCAAAAGCATCGTCAACTGCAGTTAAGGAAATCTGAAACATTTTCATGCACTTTCGAACCGTCAATCATCATTGTGGGAGTGACAGGAAAAGTAGAAAGCGCCTAGGGCCAATAAAAAGTGAAGTTTGAGGTAAAGTTGCCCTTGCTGGTGCTATTTGACTGATTCTTGGAGCAATGTGCAGACAATAAATAGGTGATTGGGGTGGAGTATTCTGCTTGGAGTTGCGTGGACCATGGCAAGAAAAATGGAGGGATAAGTGAAGCAAATAGCACAAAGTTTCAGCTTCCGTTCTTGAGAATTGCTTTAAGAAGTACTGCTAATTCAGAAACCTAGGTTCGCACGCTAATTTAACAAGTACTAGAGATAGGCAGTGGAGTTGCATTATTTTAGTTTGCAGAATAAGTTGAAGGTAGTTGGCACGGTAAATGTACCAACTACCAATTACCGTGCCAACTGCCTTCAACTTATTAAGGCGAGTAGGATTAAAGGTACGGTCCGCGATCAGGTATAGAAGTTGGAAGTATGGTGTCAGAAGAGTAGTGTGGCCCGTGACGAACAACTTTGTACCGGTTTCGCATCAAAAGGCGTAATGTTGAGGATCCACTCAATTAAGCACGTACAAACTGGGATCGGAATGGGGTTCTATTGAGGGTAGTCGGCATTTTTTTTGCTGCTTTTTTCTTCACTATCGAATTACTCACAACCTAATCATCTATATGCAAACTCCTGATCCACTATCTGTGATGGCGAATGATTGCGGGCTTTGCCTTCAATGCTCCTGTTCCAAGGAAGGTACTCTTATAAGGGCCTTATCTATAATAGTTACAACATACCGTCCAGAACGCCCACTACCCCGCCCGCCCACAAATGGACGACCGTACCTGATGCTCGTATTGCTTCATTTGCTATAAAATATGAAGCGAAGGGATTGATATGAAGCGGCCGCGGTGCTGCACGGATGCATGAGCACATATAAGCAGCCGTACCTAGCGGTAGTCGGCAAGATGCTTACGGGAAGCTCGTCCAAAGTAGTTTTTTGTTCACGGAGGACGAAGGCTTTTCTTTGCAAGTTTTTGACCGTTTCACCTCGTTTTTTCGCCTATATAGCACCCTGCCAGCATTTCAGGCCGAACAGCAAATTATCGTGCCAACTGCCTTGGAGCATTTACGAGCAGAACGCAGGAACGATGCAAAAACACTGAGTGACGAGAGACCAGATGATGAAGGATGGGTAGCACACAGAAAGCGAGACTACTCAGCACGAAGCATTCACACTAGGCGTCTTCCACCATGAGGGGAGACTGCTTCTAAGCAGGTTAACAAAGCTTACGTATTTCTGATAAATGAGTTTTTTTAAGGGGGGGGGGCGGAGGGATGCGGTGGCAAGTGTTCCGCTTACCACGCGACCGGTCCAGAGGTCCAAAGCCGGATCGGCTTCCCTCCAGGCTAACGAAGTCTATCCTCCAAAGTGGGAGAGTTCATTGGTTTCAGACTCGCCTGAGAGGATATGATCCCAGAAAGGGATTGACTGGCAGCAAACAAAATTCATCCTTTTTAAAACTTTAAAACGTACAGTGAGATTTCTATCCAACAGGAAATTGCAGTCAAAATCGTCATCGTCTTCGCCGAAGGGATTGAGCAATTCCATAGCGACTTTCATCCATCCCACATAACAGATGAACTCAAGAGAGGACATAATCGGGAAATAGAGATCGACCTATAAATGGAAAAAAAATTTTGAAGATCGAATCTTATAAAAGCATTCCACGTTCGCCATACGGGCGGGTCAAAGCCTACCATTGTTGGATACTCTTTGATGCTTCTCTCTGTTTCATTAAAAAAAGAGGACAGAAGGAGACATATTAATGCGGAAAGCACAATAGTGGGCCCGACTCCGCCCATGCGATGAACGTGAAGTGTGCCTCGAAAGACTGGTCTTCACAGGGAGCTTCGCTTACAACAGTATAGTTTGCAGCAGTTGGTGTGATGATGAATTGCCTGGAAAAGACGCAGACGATGAAATAGCAGTGTACAGCTACGAAGACCAATTGTGGATACATGATCGGGAGCGGCACCCAATCGTATGTCCATATTAACGACAAACCAGTACGAAAAGTTCGAATCTCCTAGAAGTTGAACCCTTTGCGGCTCAAAAATGGCATAATCAGTTAGAGAGTATTCCGCGATGATCTAACGGGCGGAGACAATGAACCACTGTGCGCTTCTAAGGGTGTAAAGAGGATGGCACTGTCTCTGCCTATACGCGGTACAGACTTATGCTTCCTGACCTGAGCGATGGCATTTCTTGCAATGTCACCATCTAGTCGTTTCTCCTCAAGTGCCGTGTTCAACAAATGAAGAGCCCAATTGAATGGTAGCCAGTATTTCGCATAACGGCTCTTGCACTCTTTGAACTTCTCCAGCTCATGCTCTTGGAAAAAACCTGAAAACACGTTTACGAAGCGTGAACGTAAATTGGGAATGGCTACCAAGAAGCTATTATGGCGTAGTTCGGCTTGGTGGGGACAACAATCTGCACTCAGCGAAGCCTGTACAGACCATCTAGTGAAGATTTGTAAACTTTGGAACCAAAGAGGTTCCTTTGTACCATTTCGCAGCTACACAGGGGTTTAGCGGTTTTACCAGTGTGAGACCTCTTACTTAGCTTAAAGACACATGGTACGCTCATACACATTGAGGGTGTATGAGACTATCAGCCCCCCAGATGTCGATGTGTCGTGGTCCCCCCGCCCAAACATGCCCAGGAATGGAGATACAGGGCCGTGAAACACGCTAATTCTTCCATGCTCCGCCCACTGCCTTTTTACGGCGCAGATTCCCGCCGTTCATAACATCCGTCGTAAGCGCGCCTGTCGCGTGCGGCTCCTTGGCACTTTGCCAAGTCCTTTAATTGCGCTCTCAAATACAAGTAAAACGCAATTTCCTGATGCGGATAACATTGGAGGTGCTACAAAATAAGAACAGAAGATGATGACGAGGGTCAGAACTTAAAAGCAACTGTGCCACTTCTGCAACATCCCTCGGAGGCCGCGTATTTCCACGAAACATGAAAATAAAAACGGCATACTCGTTAGTTTAATACAAGCAAAACGCAATTTCCTGATGCGAATAAAATTTTAGGTGTTGCTCATGCTTCAAAATCCATGTACAAGGAGATGAAGATGACACAGGCTAGAAATGAAGCACAACGATGTAAATGTAAACAAAACAAAAATGAAAAAATCAAGGAAAGGCAAATTAGATAAACTGGCCTGTAAATTTCTACGATCCGGCGCCAAAGCCATAGAAATACTTAGAACAAACGAGTGGGACGCTTGGGCTGTTTTTATTTTCATGTTTTGTGGGAATGCGCGGCCCTTGATGGATACTGCAGATGCAGCCGAGTTGCTCTTGAGTTCTGGCCCTTGTCATCATCTTCTGCTCTTATTTTGTAGCACCTCCAATGTTATCCGCATCAGGAAATTGCGTTTTACTTGTATTTGAGAGCGCAATTAAAGGACTTGGCAAAGTGCCAAGGAGCCGCACGCGACAGGCGCGCTTACGACGGATGTTATGAACGGCGGGAATCTGCGCCGTAAAAAGGCAGTGGGCGGAGCATGGAGGAATTAGCGTGTTTCACGGCCCTGTATCTCCATTCCTGGGCATGTTTGGGCGGGGGGACCACGACACATCGACATCTGGGGGGCTGATAGTCTCATACACCCTCAATGTGTTGAGCGTACTATGTGTCTTTAAGCTACAAAAAGAACACAAAAGTGCGAGGTGTCTCCCCTTAGCTCAACAGCACAGCCTTTTCTATTCTTCTTTCAGCGGGTCACAAAAGTGCAAGCAAGAAATGGCTCTTCGATGTAACCGGATTCATTCTAGCAAGGGGCCTCAACAGGTCGATCCGGCCACTACCACTGTATGCATCTTGAGACCCTTATTTCAAATCTGCTCTGCAGATCTTTTCCCTAATTTCTTGATTCCATCATTACCCAGAACCTCCACGTTCATTCCAAACCTGGCAACCAAATTTAGCAACTATTGCATTTGAAGTTGTTCATTCTTCAACCTTACCCGCTGCAACCATAGTTTCGAGTGTAGGGAAACGTTTTCTGACTCCCAGGTGAATATCCCGGAAAACGAGACACTGTGATGCGACGCAGTATCTGGAACCGATCTTTACATTGTATCGTGTTGAAGCAGCTGATAAGAAGTCATAAACTCACCGCACAATGTTCCGTCGAATATTTTTGCCCCGTTCATCATTTCCTTTGACAAGTTCTGAAGTGAACAGCGCGATACTGAAAAATGAAATACCGCCTCACAGTCAGGGTACAACATCGTTGTGTGAAACACATGGTGGGGGTCATACTTGGCCGCTGGGGATGGTCTTGGTGCCATCTTTGGTCGTTGCCGGGAGAGTGGGGGTCGTATGTGCCTTTGAGGGAAATTCGCCGCGTAGGGAAAAAATTTCTCCCGGCGCATTGGCCACACCCCCCCTTCTCAAAAAAAATTTTCTTGAGTGAAAGTTGGAAACTGTGAGACACTTCGGGGAAAACTGGTAGGAAGCTGGGAGCTCGCAGGGAAAAGGAAGGTAGGTGTTGGAGAAGGGGGAGGGGGGTCCTACTGACACCACTATTCCACACATCACGATGCTGTACCCTGCTCACAGTTATGTAGAGCCAACCGTAAGGGCGGAGTCAAATTAATACATTTGTCCTCTACCTTTCTTAATTCCTTTTCGTGAACTCTTGAACTCAGGTTCCCGTGGAAAACAGCATATGGGCGCGGTGACCCGAGTCAAGGCAAGTGGGTCCGCAACTAAAGAAAAGTGCCACTCAGATAACTTGAGCCCAAATTAGGCGTAAGACGGCGACAGCCCGATGCCGTTTCCGACTCCACTCCCTGGCGAAGCATGCAGACGCAACATGACGCACGTCCAAGCATACGCTTAACTGTAGCCGAACGCGCTAGTTGTCTGCTCCCTGTCACGTTTGCTCATTCTCTACACTTGACCGCGGTAGACGATAGGCGATTCTTGCCGTTCATGTTGTTCGATGTGAGTCCTCGGCACGTTACGGATAGCCGGCGAGGTTTGAAATGACAGCTATCACAACCCTCCAACTCCGATTCCGCACAGTTTGAGCGGGGAAAGTGACGCTCTGCCATATTTGTGAGCCCAGTCACCTCGCACATGGCAAGGATCCGTCTTGCAAGGATCTTTACAACTTATTTCTCAGAGGCAACTCACTTGTCAATCATGCCAAGATTGGCAAACTGGGTAACCCAACGATTCACAACGACGGTGACGAAAAAGCTGAGCATGAACGCCATTGGAATATAGGATAACCTTTTATCACAAAATGCGGCGAATTTCTCGAACACCCTGAACTTAGCAACAAAGAATTACACGAGATTAGTAGGCAGAAAGGTTCTCCACGAAATATATTTCTCTTTCCTAATCTACTGGTGATTCTTTCAGATCCAGGGATCACCCCTTCAACAATATTTAATCACAAAAAAGATCAATAACTTTCTCGCAGGTTTTGGAACTGATAACCTTAGCTCACAGGTCAAAGACATCAACTTCATTCAATCTCAACCAAATTTCAACACCAGGAATCTGTTAAGAAAATTGAATCGAATCAACTCACCCTTGCTGCTTTTCAGTGAGAGCAAAGCGATAGATGCAGGAGAGAATGGCATAGGCTGTGAGCCAAATCAGATATTCTACATATACTGCTCTCCATACAGAACCTCTCCATCGGAACAACAGTTTAACAATAACTTTAGCTTTATTCGTAGCCATATCATAATGATAATTATAAACCATAGTAGTGTCTGAAACAAGAAGCTCAGAGTGAAAATGAATGTTATCAAATTATCAAATAAGGGACTGTAGAGGAGATAAAATAGGGCAAAACTAGAGAGAGAGCTATTGTGAATTGAACTAGAGAGAACTATTCTTCCCTGGTGCGTGCAGCAATCGCCTCTCACTGAGTGTCTCTGCGTCTCTATATTTCTTCAGTGCTGAAATCAACCGTACCCCCTTGTCAGGCGTTTGCGACGGTTTTTTGTGCCCTTTTCGCCACTGATAAGTCAGCGAGCAGCTACTTATTCTCAGCACTCCACTACACACGACCTGTATTCGCGAATTGCTCCTACCAAAGGTCGAGACGCAGTCGCTTGCGCTGCAAACGCCGGGGCGTGGCAGGAGGCTTGGTTTGACTTGACGCCAGCCCATTCTCTGATGAATCCCTCTCTGGGATGCGGCACGCATTCTACTTCCACTTCAAAATCGTAGTGGCTTATTGAATGCGATGTGGCCTATACAATGACTTGAGGGGGGCTGGCTGATGTAGGATAGATATGTACACTTCTTCATCCGCCCATTTGATCCACGGCGTGCGCGTGGTCAACGTGCTTTCTCTACACCATTTCCGCCCCAAAGCATAATAGTGTCAATGAAGTAACGGATAGAAGGCGTCACACGTCTTGGACCGCATTTGTAACGACGTAATACGCACGAAGTTCGGCATAGCTCCTATAGCTGACAAAATGCGAGAAACGCGCCTTCGATGGTACGGCCATGTACTTCGCGCAAAGGCTGACACCATCTTAAGCAGCTCGAGGTGCCCGGAAAGCGACCCAGGGACGTCCCAAGCAGCACTGGCTCGATACGTTGCATACAGACTTGAAAGTTGCTGGACCCCGACCAAGCATTTAATCGGGAGAAATGGCGTTCACCATATCATAAAGCGGACATTGCATCAGCGGGACAAAACACACTCAAGCATATGAAAAGAAGTAACGATATTCGCCTAAGAAGCCAGCCCGAAACGACCCATATATCTGCATGTTTTATGAGTACATTCGGGCGTTGGTAAGTGAGGGGGGGTGGGTAACTTAGGGAGAGAGGCACTCATGTGAATTCTTTGCAACATCAAGCTTTGTGAACTCCTACAAACTGTCCACGTATGCGTTTTTGCGATTAGTACCAAATAGGCTCAGCTAAGCTTGTGAAAGATGGATCCAGGAGTGGCGAAGAGCTTGTCACTGCTGGAAAACGCTTATACTTGCGAGGGGACTATGTGAGGCAAGGTTTCCGCCCAGACTGTAGATGTAGTGGCAACAAAAGTAGCAGGTACCCAGTTTTAGGATGGTTCTTATGTCCTCCTGAGGATACGGAAGTCACCAAAATTTTTAAACGCTCCGAGTGAAACCAGTTTTTTTAAAGATCACATCTGACGCTCACGTGCGTGTTACACTCACCTTGCCATGTATGAGGTCGGCGGGAAAGTTCTGTTACTTTTTTCAAGCCTATCATACCAGTCCTTAGATCGATAGCGTCCAATCGATAATATCAGCCGCAATAGCCAAGGTAATGCTACTTCTAATAGTCTTCATTTTTTTACTCACCCTTTTACAGAATGGAGAACGAGTTTGTACCGGTTCGTGAGCCCAACATTAGCACCAGCTCAGACTTTTTTCTTCCAGCTGACAATGTCAGACCCGCACACCTGCAAGAAGTGTCAAATCGAAGCTGATGCAATATGGCTGGACAGTTCTCCCTCATCACTCGTACAGCCCAGACCTTGCTCCTTCCGATTATTGGTTATTCTCTGAAACTAGCCCCTTACCTGGATGGAAGAAGTTCAGAACCCGCGCCCAGATCGAAGTAGAGATAGTATTTTGCCTCGCGCGAAGCTAAGTCCTGGAGGTACTATCGTCATCCGGGCAGTTGAATTATGGGCGGTCGGCAACGCGGCCGCATCGCGCACGTGGCCAGGGACTATTGCTTTTTTCCAGGGCTAAATTTAGTCATTTTTTCCACCTTGTGAAGATAAGGAGCTGCTAATCTTGGAAAAAGTAGCCAAAACAGTGAAAAGTTGGAAAAAATGACTAAATTAGCCTGGAAAAAGCAAATAGTTCCTGGCACGCGCTGCGGCCCGTTGACGACCGCCCTAATCAACTGCCCGGATGACGAGGTTACTAGCCATAAACTGCCTGGACGTTTGCAAAGACTAGTAATCGAACATAACGGTGCAACAAAATTAATCTTATATGTTTCTCGTAGGAGAAACAAATTATCCTTTCACCAAGTGACGAACTTTCCCCCCAACCTAAATACAGCGAAAGAAGTTCGCACGTGGCATCCTAATTTTCACAATTTTTTCGTTGTTCCAATCATCCGATAACGGTTACCACCCTCATTCTTTCAGCTATCCATGAAGAATGATGGTCTATGAGGTTCAGATTGAATCTGATTCACCAATTTGATGTACCCGGAGAAGGAATTGCGCGGAGAGCGCGACGATCCTAGGACGCGACTTGAACCCCGTACTGCCTTTCGCCATTAAGGCCAACTCCAACACTTACTCTAGTAATGTTTACTCACAGGCATGAATGTGATCCCCCGAGTGGAGTCAAATCGCTGGGCCGCCATCTCCAGTAGGCAAATTGATCGGAACTCTGGAGATTTTGCTTCGGTATCTTTTATGCTGTTATCCACTTCGGCAAGTGAAGAGTAATCCGATAACTCACTGAAGACAGGAAATTCGCACGACCACAAGCTGTGTCAATTTTACTACCCTGGGATGCGTCTCGTCTTTGAGTTCTCTATAGGACCACATTGAGCGTCGTGGAAGATACCAAGGTTACAAACTCCCTGTGCGGACCTATTCAATGCAACAACGCTGCGTGCCCTCACCTATGCGGGAGAAACTCGGACCCTGACGAAAGCGCACAAAAGACGGTTAAAGGATATCCACATTGGTAGATGAATGAGTCAAGGCTAGTACGGTGGCTTCTGAAAGCCACTCGTTGCCAGTGACAGTACTGTTTGTCTTCCTGGATGGGTCTCTTCTGAACTAACCAGTTGGAAATGAACGGAAAACTAGGTCCGTTTGTTTGTGATCTCAGTTTCGAGACTCGCTTTCTGAACAATGATGGTGACCGCGCTTTTGTTCTTAGGCCGTCTTCGTTGGCTTACCCTTACGTTCCCAATCGTGGTGTAGACGTACCTTTGCAAAGTTTCGAAGAAGATTCTCGCAAAGAGAAATGAGATCAGTCCTGCGAAAGTTTTGAGAAAGCCTCTAGAAATCGTGGATGGGCGCAGATCGGCTTGGTGGGAGCAACAAATGGCATACAACAAAGCCTGTACAGACTATCTGGTAAAGACCGGTCAAATCCTACGACAGAAGTAGCTCACTTGTACCATTCAACAGCTTCTCAAGAGTTTGCAGGTCTCTGACCAACATGAGACCTGTAGTCCAGTTAAATTGGCTCAACAAAAAGGAATAGCGAAAGTGCAAAATACCCCTCCCAGGCCGTGCAGCACCCAGAAATGTTCTTGATTGCTGCGCAAACGAATAAAATCGCATAGTAACGAGAAACCTTTGTAAGCAAGGAGTGGAAAAAAAATTCAGGAAACCATCTCTGAATAGACACTCAAGTTCAAAAGGGTCGGCGATTACGTCGGTGTTTCGCTGGCGCCAACCTTATCAGCATATTCTATTTAGGGCTTTTATCTAACAACTTTTACGCCTGCTAAAATCGTTGAATTTATGGGTTTTTCTTCGGATCTCCGTGATAGAGAGGCGGCTAAGTAAAGGACCGCGACAGCGACCCACCTTTTCGGAATGTCATGGTCAGCTCGAGACGAAAATAGCCATCCTTAAAAGCTGATTCTGCTCGGGAATTCCAGCTTACAGGATTGTTGAAGCTATGCTGTGTTTACTTATTACTAAATTCTGCTACAGTGTAAAGCAAGAACATTAATACCATGAAGTTCAAAAAGAGTTAGCATAAGGATGAGGTCAAAGCTCTTGCGTTGATCAGTCCTTTTGAGCTGCAGTCTAACTCCACTCAAAACCATAATGACATTCTGAGCGCGATTTAGCCTATACGGCTTGTGGTTCCAGCGATGTTCAACATGTCTGTGTGAAGGGGGGGGGATAGGAGAAGGCCTGGTTCGCGTGAGCTGGAGCGGAGCTGGAGTGTCACTGCCGGACAAGCAGGCCGCAGCACAACTTGCCACTAAAATACCTCCGAACTAAGAAAAAGGCTCTCTGGGATAAGTGAGGTACATCTTAGTGATTCTAGGCATCGTATTGTTTTAGGAAAAGGAATCTGGGCATTATTGAGGTTGTTCCTGAGTTCAGGTGGCTTTCCGTAAGTCCATAACAGAACTTAGCATGGAAGGCACATTCCAAGGTACCTTAGCCATGGATGAAAGAAAAATCGGAAGCAAAAGTACTAGCTGGTTCATCATCAAAGAAAACAGCCAGGGGCATTGCCGGAATCCTTGAAATAGGCTTGGTGACACCTATGGAAATAATCCGAAGGAGGGAATTCTAGACCAGTGTTACCATCTCTCCATAGCACCTCATTGTCATCAGGATTCCTACTGCTTTTGTGCTCTTACAAATGAACACTGCTACCCTCATCGGGACGTCATTTTTGGGGTGGTCTTCAATTTTCGAACTATCAAGTTAAAAGAGTTATTTTTTCATTTCCGAGACATAACCACTCAAAACGAGGTTGATCGCTGGTTCGCTGCGCTTCATCAAAATTCACTTCTTGGTCACTTACTCGATTCCAGCGCGAATTTGGAAACCTTTTCCCTCACAGCACTTTCTTTCTTTTTCTTTGCTGAAGCGATCTGAGGGCATGTGACACATGACCATGTGAGGAGAGTATACATGGCAAGCGAGAAAATCAGCTCCCAATGGCTTTGAAACATCCTGCTCCTTCATCGGTTCTTATGATCTTTCCTCGTCAAAAGGAGAGCATTAGTGGCTAGGGCATTACAAATAGGCACTCGCCAGCTAG